GACTGGGCTTTGCATTGATTCAATTATAAAAAAACAGAGTACCGAGCAAAAACATGGACATTTAGCATAACCCAATAACAGCGGTGCTCAAACGAAGTTTTACCCTTATAAATAGGGGGGGTCAAAAAAGTTTTAACACAAAGAAAGGGGGGGGGGGTCATAAAAGTTTTTGAACTTAAATATACCATGTCTAGAGTTCTGATTTCTATAATCACAAATAGCAAAAAAGAAGACTATGAAAATGCTATTTCCAACGATCTAGAGACTCAAAATTTTCCTGCTCGGCGCCAACCATGGTAGCGCCTCGCGATCGTGGGAGTCGGGCCCACTAAGTTTAACAAGCTTTCTACCCCCTGAGTTGAACGAACATATTATAGATAGGGGTATTGGGTTACCTGTGGGTAACAAGCCTGTTCGCGGGCGACCTGAGTATCGGGAAAAACAACGAACATGTGAGACTTTGTGAGCGAGAGTTTTGTGTAAAAAGTGGGAGGTTTTATAGTTTATTAAACTTTACTAAAACATAATACGAGAGTTTTAGTGTGCCGACACAAGTTCGGCACATTTTGGTGCCGTGACCAGGATTGAACAACGAAATATTTGCGGATAAAGACGAGAAATTGAGGGTATTACGAAATCCAAGATGGCGGACGAACTTGAACAACAAGAAATTGAGGAGAATATTACGGTAGAAATCACTCAGGAGGAGAAAGACCAGGAGAAAAAGATTAGAAAAGAGATTGAAAAGCTGCAGTTTTATCTCGAGGACGTCGACGAATTATTGGAAAGTGAGGATTTTAATGAAATCAAACAAGTATGCAAGCGAACACAGCAGATTCAAGATAATATGAACGACTTTACAAGAATTACTCGCATTTACAAGAATTAAAAATTGAGCTGGGAAATTCAACACAAAGATCTATTAGACAGTGGACAAAAGATTTGAAGGCAGAGTATGCACCACTATGTGAGAAACACGGAGGTTGTGTAGGGTACTAGACGATGGACAGAGACATGAAAACTTGAGAGCTGAGGAAAAAGTGGCGATCAGAAAGATGGCGAAGGAAGCTAGAACAAGTACATCGAAACTACCAGAGTTGAAAATATTACCCTTTAATGGGACTTCTGCTGACTGGATAAGGTTCGAGAATATGTTTGCCTCATAAGTTGACAGCAAGTCCATTTCGGACGCTGAGAAATTTGGATGCCTGTTAGAGCTCGTGAATCCGAAGGTGAGAGGTAGACTTTCGAACTTGAAGCCGGGGTCAGAAGGTTACAAAACAGCATGGGAAAGGTTGAAAATGGAATATGGTCATAATAAATTAGTAATTGCAGCTCATATGGAGGAGATTATTAAGTTACAGACGGTGAGAGGAAGAAATTACGATAAGGTATGTGAATTTTATGAAAGTCTTTGCAAAAACTATGACGCACTGCAAACGTTGAGTGAAGAAGCTATGTTAAAGGGGTTGGTGGTATCTACTTTAAATAAACTTCCCCAGGTTAAGCCTGATTTAGTACGTATGGATGATAATTGGGAAGATTGGAACATGAAACAATTGTTATCAGCATTACAGGGGTGGTTGAAGCGTAACAAAACAGAAGAGGTATCAACTAAGGAGCATGAAAACCCAAGAAAGAGGGAGCGAAACTGGTATACCCAAAAGGGGGGAGAGTTTACCAATGGTAAAGGCAAGGGCCCGGTCTGTATTTATTGCGAAGGACAGCACTGGGGAGACCAATGCACATCGTATGACTCTGTGACTAAGCGTAGACAGTTCTTTGTTGAAAAACGACTGTGCTTTAATTGTGGTCGACCAGGCCACCGCGAAAGTAAATGTCGCAGTAGGGGGTGCTACAAGTGCAAGGGCAAACATCACACTAGCCTTTGTGATAAACTGCAGGAAAACAATAATCGAGAAAACCACAACGCAATGTTAAATGGATATTCCCCATCCTCTGAAGAGAAGTCTTTACCAGCTATTGCGCCACTTAAAATTAAGGGTAAGACATTTTGGGCGTATCTCGACACGGGCTCTGGGAGAAATTTCATCTCGAAGGAAGCAGTGCGACAATTAAGACTATCACCCCAGCGCCATGAGAGTAGAAACATCCTAACTGTAAACGGGTCCAAAAAGGCATCAATGCCAGTGTTTGAAGTAACAATCAATTCAGTTGATGGACGGGCAAGTGAGAATATCGAGGTTACTGGTACAGAAATGCCAGATTTTACAACTGTGAAACGACCGACTTTCATAGAGCTAAAGGAGAAATACGAGCATCTTCGCGAGAAAACATTCTACCGGTCAGAAAACGAAGAGTATCCCATCCATGTCATATTGGGCGATGCTACCTATTGCAAAATACGGACTGATCAAGTCTACAAGGGAAAATCAGAGGATCCGATTGTAGAAGGAACGACCTTCGGTTGGGTAGTTCATGGCGGCCAAGATTATGCAGACTCAAGGTGCATGTATGTTTGTGACCATAGTGATTATGAACAGCTCTATTCCCTAGATGTCTTGGGAGTAGAGGATCGAGGGGAGAAAGATCAGTCAACAATTTATGCAGAATTCCAAGAAAGCATCACTAGGAAAGAGGATGGGAGATACGAAGTTGCTGTTCCATGGATACCTGGAGCTGTATTGTCAAACACTAATGTAGAACCCAGTAGGAAGAGACTCCACAATGTAAACAGGAAGTTGAAACAGAATCAGCAGCTCAAAGATGAATACGAGAAAATTGTGCATGAACAGTTGAAAGACGGAGTCATTGAAAAGACTAAAGAGAGCTCGACTAGTGAACGTGTGTTCTACATGCCACACAAACCGGTGATTAAAGAAAATGCCTCTACAACCAAGGTGAGAATGGTGTTCGATGCCAGTGCCAGACCCCATCCAACGGCCAATAGCGTCAATGAATGCATGCACACTGGCCCCCCACTTCAACCATTGTTATGGGACATATTAATCAGAGCCAGAATGTCAACCCATCTACTACTCGCAGACTTGCAGAAGGCGTTTCTGCAGGTTGGTTTGAAGGAAGATGATCGAGACGCGTTTCGGTTTCTGTTTGACATTAA